AAGAGGACAGAAATTATCCGCTGGGACCCCTAGTTCATCTGGGCTCAGACCTCCATGTGCTTAAGGGTCATACTGTGAAGACATGATTAAGTGAACGTCTAGTTTCACATGTTTTAAATCTTAGATGGACGTGAGTGATCATCTTCATGTTCTGGTTACTTTGCTTCTAGAGGAAGCCCCAGATACCCATAGGATAGTAGGTTGATTGGGCTGTGGACCAATCCAAGCTCTTGTGACAAGGAAGAAAATTCCTGTTCCTGCCAGGCGTCAGACTTCTGTTGAGAGTGGAAAAGTGTGCTTGATTATTTTTAACGTGTCTGCGTGATTTTGCATACCTCACTGGTCTTTCCAGGTATAAATCACCTGGTGCTGTGCTATTCGTGCTACATTGTGTACCTACTAATTTTATTATAGCATTGACCATTTTTGAGAACCGGACAGAACATGGCAGCCAAATGGTTATCACTCCTGCTTCGTATTTAAGGGCTTCTAGTTTAAAATCTCAGCCAGGAGACCAAAGATCCTGCAGGTTTCATTGTTTTCCATAATCCTGCCAGGCAAATGCCTTGATAGTACATTAAATTAGACCATGACCTTTTGCTTCCATATCCTTTCCAATTTAGTATTCATTAATTATTGCATCATATGACGCTGTATTGTTTGATTTAGTTAAAAATTAAATCCGTGGCGTAACAGCTCCAGAGAGCCAAAGCCGACTAGCTTGACTGCTGGCCTCACGTTCACATGCCTAAGCAGAGGTGAACGATCATCCAACCAGATATAGGGTGACGGGTGGTCAGCACAACGACCCCCCAGCCATTGCTAGCTTTCCTGACCTGATTACGCTACCCATTGTAGCTCCCCAATTTTCTCACGATGCTGGGTTGGCACCGGTCCCATACACCGGTCGAAAATCTCATGAGAAATTTCTTTCCCCAAGACTCGAACCAGCGCGCATTCCTTATCACCGGTCCGAAGCTTGACGCCTCAGACCGCGCGGCTACGGCGCAGGACTGTTTGATCTAATTACAGTGTTGTTATATAGTAATGAAAACAGTAATAACAACTGAGTACTCGATAAAGTTTCATTATAGTTTGGTGTAATATGTGGTTTATGTTTGGCTGACATGAATTAAAATTAACTTCACCTGACAAATCTAAATCTATTGAGTAGTTTTGGAGGTATCAATAAAATGCAACGACACTAATGTGACGTTTGCTTAATGTAAGATTTAGGTTCCTGTGGCAGTAAAGATGTGATGTGTGGTTTTCTGGTGCGTGCACTTGGAAGAATATGCCGTCTCCATCTTTAATCCTGATGATGGTGGCATTATGTTCCCCCAAAATGGTAACCACCTACAAGTCCGCAGTGCTACAGCCATTAAGACCAACATCAACATTTATATCAAGTGTTTCCTTTATGAATTTAATGCATGGGTGTAACATAAGTTAGAAAGTTGCGCTTTTTCATAACAGCTTTGTATGATTTTCACAGGAATTTGTGTGTCGGGGTTTGTTACATTGCTTGTGGCTCACTGCACGGTACGAAACGGTCGCGGGCCTATACAAGGGATTGTGGCCGAGCATTCTGAAAGCTGGTGTTACAACTGCGTTACACTTTTGTATATACGAACAAGCTTGTCAGTTTCTAGCAGCCACACACAGGTAATATTCTGAGCGCACAATTGGTATGTCACTTATTGCCTTCATAAAGCCAGGTCATGTAGATACTAAGGGAGTCAGATGCTGTAGATCAATGATTTAGTTTGCGTTACCACATCTGGATCATAAGTGAAGTGTGATGTTGTAAGAATAAATATTTATTGCTTTGTCCTTAAATCTACAAAATAGTTTAAACTTTTTAATACTTTTATTGTTGTAGTCTGAACATTTACTAGCACTGTGATGTGACGTGGTGGAGATGGACATGGAGATGTTGTCGCCATATTTGTTAGATGCTATCAAGACGTGTCAAATTCATTCTTTGGGGTTGGGACATTTTGTTTATGAGTGACATCTGTCATTTAATTATAAATCAAGCAAAGAATACATTTCTTTGAAGGCTGATGGACTTACGTAATTATGAATGTCACATCAGAGTTGCTGTTTTTGTGCCAAAAAATTTTGCATGTCTTTAAATATTATAAGTATTTGAACATTTAGGTTAAAATCAACCTATTTGAATAAGAATGATCTGAAAAATTTTGTTTCTTCACATGCTGTTATAATATTACTGTTTGTGACCTTTTATACTTAACACTGCTATTTTATATATTTTTCCTTTCTATTCAAATACCTACAAATGTATAAATATACAATTATATCTCCATTTATGTTCATTAGTTGCAACTACTAGTATGTAAATATTTTACATGGGTGGTTTAAAATTTCTTGTAAACAGTGTAGTGTCGATTTCTGTGATTCTTGCCTAGTCTTTGTATTTAGTTGGATAAGTGTGTACGTGGTGTGGGAGAGTACCTGAAGAAAACTGCCTGGTGTGAAATCGGTAAGATAGTTTATTTGCATGCTGTGATCACAGTTCTAAGTAGAATTTGAACCACCCTTGCATGTGAATAAATGTCTGTAATTATTTTATCAATTGCAAATTTGTCCATATCAATGTAAAATTCCGTAATGAGGGCTGTCTTATTTTCTAAACTGTAGATCCATAATTTGTTTAAATGATAGTTTTGAAACTCAGAAGTTCTTAATCATTCCTGAACCATTTCCTTGTATAATCAGAACTGTTTGAATTCTCATCCAAAGTGACAGTTTTTTTTTTTGTTTTTTTTTTTGGGAATGTGCCCCTTATATGCTCATTTGAGTTTTTCTTTAGGTGGCGACTGACTTATAACATTTACTCGTCGGCTCGACTGTGCTCATGTGTGCTCCATTCATTTCATTCAATATGTCGGACGTGGAGGTTGTGTTATCTTTGTTTCATTTAATACGCTACTCTTATTTAAAGAACTCGTGAATGCTCGTTACGACGCCGCTCGACTGACTGACTGACTTGTAATGTAACACTCAAAGGGATTCGCGAAAAAACCGACAACACGATGGAGCGCCCGCGAGCGTGAGCGGCTCACATCGAGCGGCTCCGTTCGCTGTCTTCACTTGTGTAATGCTCGATTTGTAACACGTTACATTACAGGCAAATGTTATAAGTCAGTCGCCACCTTTTGAAGATAAGATATTTCAACATATATCATTGGTTATACGTTGCCATTTTGATGAGTTTGTAATGCAAGTCAAAGCCGTCTGAATCCGCGCCGTTCTCTCAAATGTTTTCGTTCCAGTAAACAGTTTAATCAGTCGAGAAGAAACAAGACTTTCAAAACACGTGTTCATCCATTTTAGTGATAACAGTGGAAAGTATGGTCATTAAATTGCAATATACTTGTTTTGTTTGCAGATAAGAAGGTAAGGAGGTTAAGAGTTAATGAATAAATCCTACATTGAATAGACATGCTTATGTTTTTACTTTGCCCGTGATGTATTGCAGTGCTTACGTGGATGAGAGTTATGGTAAAACTTGCGTAATATTTTCTGTTTATTCTTTTGTCTCGAGGTTTTGAAATTCTGGATGGTAACAGTTACATTATATTATTGAAGTACATTTATTGAAAGATGGACGGTGAAGAACAGTCACCTCTTACTGGTAATAAATAATTACAATCATGTTTGTTTTTGAAAGATACATCAAACTGTTTAAAAATTTTCCACAAATTTTAGATAAAAAATTAAGCTTTGAGGAACTGCAGAATGTCCATACATAAAATAAGAGAATTTTTGCATGAAAAATATTCAAGTTTTTCTATTAGAACACAGGTGTGAACCCTGAATTTATGAAAAACCATAAACAAAACAATTCAAAATTTGCATAATAGATATGGGACAAATCTCAATCAAAGCCTCTGACAGATGGACCTTACGGAGGACCGAATGGAAGAGGAGAATTGAGGAGGCCATGGACCGAATACGGACCGGAGGGTCATAGAAGAAGAAGAAGATATGGGACAAACTGAATTTAAAGTGAGGAAACACTATATAAGCACTTAACTGCATTCGTTTACAAGAATTCATCTGTAGAAATGTGAAGAGGTGATGTTAAATTCATGTTTGATTCTCTGGCTCTGATGTTACATTTAAATATTTGTTTACACTCAGATTTTCCCTGATGGTCATTTTTGGCAGTTGCAATGGTGTAAAATTTATCTTCCATATGAGATGGTGTATCCCATGTTTGCCATGAGAGTGTCTTTGAGTGCTGGCTGGAGCTGCTTCTCCAGATACCTTGTGAGGAGAGACTGAATTCCTCTCAGAAACACATCCTCCATTTCTTGTGTAAAGTCTGCCTCTTGTCTTTTCTCCAAGGCAGAGGGCAAGTCATTGTTTCCATTTCGTCTGTGTTCTCTGCTCGGTGGACGACACCCGTACGCGTAGACGCTTACAAATTCTGGTTTTATAAATTGGGCAGAAGTTCGGAGCTCAACGTTCCCTCTAGATACTCGTAATGGAAGAGCAGAGATCCCGAGACCGGCCTTTCTGAGACGTAAAGTCATATTGCATGTCTCGACCGGCAGAGGAAGTAAAGGGTCTTGAAGAACAGCCTTCTCATCATAAAGTTTGACCATTCCACTGACTTTTAGGTCTCGGAATGTAAGTTGTGTTTCCACGCTCGCGTTATGCGGATCATAGTAACATTTCTCGATACGGAACCAACCTGTTCTGGCTGGGACATGGACTCGCATGTTTGTGACGTACATATCATACGGTGCTGTTCGCATTGGCTGGTGGAGTGCGTAGCCTGCGAGGTCTACTAATGCACTATTAGCGTTGATTGGGTTATGAATATCTGAGCTTTGAGTTTTCTTCATGGCTGCCATTCTGTTTTCGATCCTTGATGCACAGCGATTGGATCCGGGAGCAGGATTATAAATGATCCGTTCATCTGAGAATACAGTTAACAACATTAATTAATCTTTTTTGTCGTGACAAATTATTTTTCTTTAAGTAAGTGTTACAGGTCAATAAATTGCACATTACATATGACATGGTCTCTCACTCAGAGGGAGGAACACAGATTGCAGGTGTTTGAGAATCGGGTGTTGAGGAGGATATTTGGGCCTAAGAGGGAAGACGATGGGGCGTGGAGAAAACTGCACAATGACGAGCTTAAAAATCTGTACTGCTCCCCCAGTATTGTCAGGGTGATTAAGTCGAGAAGA